AATAGAACCGGGGTCTCCTGCATTGCAGGAGGATTCTTTACCAGCTGAGCTACTAGCAGTCAGGTCGAGATGGGAATTCCCACTCCAGTGTGTCTTAAGTCCAGGAGCATAGGACCTTGGTATTAGCAAAGCAGAGATGTTTTTATTTCCCAAGATGAGCCAATTTTGTAGTTCATTCATTCATATATCTAGTCTTTGAATCAACATTTACTGTTGGGAGTATGTGGGAGACACTGGGCCCACAACAGAAACTGGTAAGGACCTTGCCCTCAGAAGACTTCCTGAGGAAGACTATTTGAGGAAATAAGACATATACATAGTTGCCATGATATGAGGCACAGGGCGACTTGGGCAATCAACTGCAGGAGTGCATAGTTGGGGGACACCAGTTCCTGCCAAGGTAATCAGGGAAAGCCACCTGGATGAAGTGGCATTTAGAATGCAAAAGTAGCCTTGAAGGATGTAAATATACTGTCAGGCACAGAATGAGTCTTCCAGGGAGATCACACTTTGTGTATTTGAATTAAACCATGTATGTGCACACAGCATAATAATAATAATAATAACAATAACAAAGAGTGTGTATAAAGACTAAAGTGGGGGTTCCCACCCCATCTTACTCAAGGCTGGGCCTAGAGCAAGCACGAGATGGGAGAGGGATCCTGCTGTTTCCCCAGTGGCTTTTAATTCTCTGCACCTCTTTTCCTGTGAGTATCACCCTGAGGGTGATTCTAGCATTTCAAGACATGCATCTCTCCCGTAACTTAGCCCCTCCCATCAAGCCAACAACCTCATCTGGTGCTTAACCCAAAGAAAAGTGGTTTGTTCTGATACTGAAGGAAAGCCCACCATTCTGGACTCACTGAGATGGGTTTCCCTCCTAAGGGATTGGTAAAGTTAACTTTGACCGTGCCTCGTTTTCCCCAGTATACTCTGGCTTTAAACTCCAGTCTCTCGATCACACAGACTACTGTCCTGGGAGCCACGTGGCACAGGCCTGGCAGTGGGTACAGCTGAGCCGTGTAGGGAGTGTAATTAGAGGGCTCTGTGACTGCTAAGGGCCCGTCGGATTCCAAGAGCTCGCGAGTCGGCTGTGATCTTTGGAATCCTCATTAGAGATTCTCTCCAGAGCCCGGGGCATATGCTTTTGCTCGTCTTTAATAATGGCAAATCTTCATGCTTTGAGGTTGGATTTGATTTCAGGAAACAACCACGAGAGGCATTTGGAGCCCAGCCTGGTGGAGGAACAAGCTGGAAAATGTGCTTCTGGTTAAATGGGAGGTGTGACTCTAATTGGCACGTGGGGATGCCAAGTTCAGGTAGAAGCCAGAGCAGGAAGCTCCAGGGAGAGCTCCAGAGTTGCTGTAGGGGATGCCAGCCTCGGGGCAGGCGGAAAGGGGATTCTGCTGGCCGTGGCTTATCTCTACTAGGTACCCTGGCAGCTTGACTGGACTCCATCTCCCTCCCACAGCTCAGCTATAGACAAAGTCATGAGTGGTTTAGGGCTGTTTTCAGAGTGTCTGGGCCCAACTGAAACCAGCAAGTGTACCATGAAGGCAGACAGAGGCCAGGAAGGCGGGCAGAGGGGGACCACCAGGCCTTTCTCTGAGCTGACCCTGGCACTGCAAGATGTCAGGGGCCATCCAATGGGGCAGCCTCATGTACCTTGTCAGCCCAAAAGCTGGAGGTTGGCCAGAGGAAGAGTCAAGGGATCACTTACTATGCCTTCCGATGGGAGGCCAATGGCCAGACCCCACACAGGGCTCAGCCTCCCCGGGACAAAGGATGCCCAGCAGCTGCCTTAGTGTCCTGCAAGCTTCCCCACGGCCCTTGGGCACAGTGGCATGAGGCACTGTGTCCCACGGGGACTTGTTATGGCTGCTCTTCCTTCCCCCGACTTCCGCCATCTGGGACAACTGGCCTGATTCTACTGGGACATTTCTGTGCCCACATCCCACATTTACAAGGCCTTCTTTAGGTCACTGGGTGACCTGATCACTGAGCCTGAAGGTACTTCCTGAGATCAACTCCCAATCCTTGGGGCATGTCCTGAGCTTGCAGGGGGAGACTTTTCAAAAAATTTTAAAAAAATTTCAAAGCTTCTTTCCCTTTACAGTTATTACAAAATATTGGCTATATTCCCAGTGTTGTACAATATAGCCTTGTAGCCTACCTTACACCCAGTAATCTGTACCTCCCACTCTGCACCCCTATAGTGGCCCTACCTTTCCTCTCTACTGGTGATCACTAGTTCGCTGCTTCTTTTTTTTTAAATAGTCACTAGTTTTGTTATATTTTTTAGATTATAGGGAGTCTATTTTGAGGGAGACTGGGCAGGGTATTTTTTTTTTTAGCATGTTTGTTTTATAGGCATTCCCAAATCATCTGCAGAGAGTGAGCCACTGGGTCTTCTTGTCCTAAGAGGCTTAGAGAGTCCCTTGGACAGCAAGGAGATCAATCCAGTCAATCCTAAAGGAAATCAGCTCTGAGTATTCACTGATGCTGAAGCTTCAATACTTTGGCCACCTGATGCAGAGAGCTAACCCATTGGAAAAGACTCTGATGCTGGGAAAGACTGAACACAGGAGGAGAAGGGGATGACAAGGTTGAGATGATTGGGTGGCATCACTGACTCAATGAACACGAGCTCGAGCAAACTCTGGGAGATAGTGAAGGACAGAGAAGCCTGGTGTGCTGTGGTCCATGGGGTCACAAAGAGTTGGACAAGACTTAGAGACTGAACAACGACAATAACAACAAGAGACTTAACTCACAGGCTCTGGGCTCTGAAGATGAAGTGCAGAGTGATCCACCAGAGGAGGAAGCAGAGAAAGCTCATATTGCACATATACATATGCAACACACCACACATCCCCCCACAGACAGGCTCTCAGCACCCCTTACACTCCACACTCTCAGACTCACCCAACCCACACGTGGGCACGCTCCACTGCAGACACACCCCCACCCCTCCCAAACAGCCTGCACATAGCTATTCATGACTCTCCCCAGCACAAATGCACACCACTCTGTGCCGTTTCCTGCATGCTCCTGGAAGACACTGAGACTGGGGGAGCATCGGCGTGCATCTGATAAATCCCGCTCTCTCCCCGTGAGCTTTTGAACAAAATGATGTAAGAAGAAAGATACATTCTCAGAGTAGGATGATCTGGGCTCGAAGGTTGGAATTCCCGCTTGTGAACTGTGCCATCCTGCGCAAATCACTTCCCAGTACTTCACTCTCCATATCTGTATAAATGGGGCATCATAACAGTGCCTTGCCCACACAGTAGTGAGGGTAATGCACCTCACGGAGGAACCCACTTAACATTATACCCTGCAAAGTATAAAACGTGCTCATCACCAGAATCGTCATCAGTATTTCCAACCAAGGAACAAGCCATACTCAGATTAAATGGACCTTCCCCAGTCCGCTGGTCCCAGGTAGAATGGGCCATGTGAGTCCATCTCAGATGGGTAGAATCATTTGTCCCTGTCACTCATGAGACCATCTGGGGCTATGCCCCCTCCCCTGGCCCCTGGCTCAGGTGGTTTGATGCTCCTGATTCGAGACGTGTGTTGGAGGTGGACCCGGTCAATGAGGACCCAGAAATGGCCAGGCGATTCCCAAAAGAACTTTACATAATCAATGCAGCATCTATTACAAAACATCTATATGCAAAGATGACTCTTGCCCCAGCAGATGAAAAAGTGGCTATTGGCAAATCCCTGACAAATGTTTCTGGGATGCGAAGGCTTTGGAGAAGGTAAAGCAGGGACGGAGCAGGGGGATCTCCAGCCCCTTCAGCTAGCAAAGAAAGCACGGGAATCAAGGCCTGGTGGCTGGGGGAGACAGGGACAGGAGTTGTGGGGGTTCTCAGCAGCAGCTGAGCAGGACACCCACTCCAGAAGGGCTCCTGGGAAGGTGACTTGGGGTCACTGATGGCTGGAGGGACATGCACTTGAATGATGCGTGGATTATGCTGCAAAGGAATGGACAGAACGAAGGCTTCCTGTAACTACTTGAGAAGCAAACAGTTCCAATAAAACGGTCGGGGTAAGGAGAAGGGGTGGGGTGGGGTGATGCACATATAGTGGTTGGAAACTCAAAGAGAAAAACAGTTCTGCCTTCCAAGGATGCAAACTTTCCAGATGGGAGCTAACAGATAAGATTGTGGAAGCGGAATTTGGGTATCATGCTTTTGATGTAAAGAGTAGGAAAGGGATGGGCTGGTGGAGGTGGGACCCCTCCCAGTCTCCTGTCCTGCAGGAGAGATGGAAGCCCGGAGGGGTAAGGACTGTGCCTACATTTCACAGAGCGTGGCACGATGGTAGGGTCCTTGGGATAGATGGTTGAAGGTAGGTGCGTCTGCAAATGCTAAAATTAAATGGCAGTATGTGTATATTATGCTCATTTTTCCAAGGAAAAGAACTATAGCTTTCCTTATATTTCCAAAGAGTTTTAAGACTTCAGACAAATCAAGAAGTATAATTAAAGGCCAAGTTCAAACCCCAGTTGAGCCCCTTTCTGTGTGACTTTTGGGCAAGTTATTAGGCCACAAACACCTTCCTGTCTCATCTGTAAAATGGGGATAATAGAAACCCCACTCCCTAGGGTTATTGAGAGGCTTAATTAAATAAAATCACATCAAGTGTTTAGCAAAGTGCCCTACATCCAGTAAGTCCAGAAATAGTAGCTATTATGATTTATACTACTATAACAATTAGCTATTATCTTGAAGATGAGGGTAAAAAAGCAAACACCTCTTGCTCGCACCGGGCCACAGTTCACATGGTGGGTGAGTGGTGAGTCCAGCCAGGTCTGGCCCACGGAACACGGGGTGCAGAGCCAGAGGCCACTGGCAGGAGGGCCGGGAGGCAGCCCCACACCCGCCTGGCAGTTTGTATGCAGCGGCTGTTGTGAGAGTGTGTCCCCGGGAGGGGAGGGCTGCTCCATAAGACTGATTTGTTGCTGCTGAACCTCATTAATCAAATCTTACCGGAGAGAGCCTCCTGCAGCTGCTGGCAGGTCAGCGTCGGGGAGATAAGTGATGTAGCCAGACCCAGCAAGGGGGAGAGACGCAGCGGCCATAAGTCTTGACAGTGGCAGGCTCTGAAGCAGGACTCCGAGCAGGCGCGTCCTCGGTGCCGGGGGGCAGAGCTCCAAGTCACAGTGAAGCTCTTCCTCCCAAGGGATGCTCTGGAGAGATGGGGAGCTGGGGTGAGGTGTGTCTGGGAGTGGCTCCCGGGAAGCAGGGCAGTTCAATGTGTCTGGGGACACTCGACCAGGACCGTACGGAGTTCTGCAGACCAGAGCTCCTCACCCAGACAGCTCAGCATACCTACGCCCCATTGAATTTAACATAGATGGTAGGGGTCACATCTCCTGCTTCAGGTTAGATATTCATTCTGCTGCTCTGTACCTCCATTTCATCACTGGGAACAGCACCTGTAGAATGAGGAACTCTAGGTGCTCCACTTTGCCCTCATAGACAAGCATTTGATGTAGGCGCCATGATCTTCCCATTTTACAGAACAAGAAACTGAGGTCACACAAAGCAGCTTTTGTCACTCTGCTTGGAGCAGCCCCCAACTAGGGCGTGATGGCCTGCTTGGCAGGGCTGGTCAAGGGAAGAATGGGCTGTTGCTGGTGTCTTGAGGGGGTTGCTCTGGGGTACCAGGAATCCCGAATGGGTCTGAGGGGTCTCTGCTCCTAGTGAGCTGACAGGAGGTTTTGAGCTGACTCAATGGTCTACTTGGACCAAAGGGACCATTTCTGCTCTTTCTCATCACAGGTACGATTCTTTCTTCTCTGTGACAGGGTGCTCCCTGGAGCCGAGACCTGCTTGTTGAGACAGTGATGTGAGCCTGACTCCCTGGGTTGGTGTTCCTGTCTTGTCTCTCACTGTCTAGCTGTGTGGCCTTGGGCCTTGAATTCTCTGAGTCTCTGTTCCTATTCAAAATTAATAATACCATTTCCATGCGCTGAGGCTCATGCGGGGCGGAAGAAACCTACGCTCACATAGCGTTTGGAACAGTGGCAGGCATCTGAATGTGTGTTAGCTGTTCAATCGTGTCCAACCCTTTGTGACCCTGTGGACTGTGGCCCGCCAGGCTCCTCTGTCCTTGGAATTCTCCAGGCTGGAATACTGGAGTGGGTAGCCCTTCCCCTCTTCAGGGGATCTTCCCAACCCAGGGATCGAACCCATGTCTCCTGCATTGCAGGCAGATTCTTTACCATCTGAGCCACCAGGCCAATGGAGTGAGCACTTAATTGCTGTAGTTACTGGGGACCCAGAGGAGAATGCCCCCCTTGCTCTGCCTGGAACCTGCTGGCACCACTCCTGCCTGTGGTGGTGCACGTCTCTGCCTCTGGGAGCCCCGCTTCCTTCTCTCCAGACTCTGTTCTCTGCGCATCTACCCCAGGCCTCTCTTTCTACTCTGCTCACCACATTCCTGGGACCACTGTTTATCTTCAGCCCCTTGAAAGAGATGTGTTGGACACCCACCTCCATGTGCAACATTGTCTGTAAGCTCAGAAGCTGAAAAATAAAGAAATTCATACCCATTGCCCCCATTAGTGGCCGATAATTATAGTGTCTTGAACAGATAGTGTGTGCCGGGCTTCATGCTCCATGCCTTACAAGCACTGGCTCACACAGACTTCACAACAGCCTGCTCCAAGAGTTTAAGAAACTCTACGAAGTCACACAGCTAGTTAAGTGGCAGAACTGAGATTAGGGTCCTATTTCAGGCCCTGTTTTATAGCAGAGGAAACTGAAGCTCAGAGAGGGTAAGTTATCTAAGGTCACCCAGGTGGTGAGTGGCAGAGCTGGGCTTCAGAGCCTGGCTGGCTGACTGCAAAGACCGTGCCTTTAACCTGAACCCTGAACTGCAGGTTAAGCCCCAGCACAAAAATCTAGGCCTCCGCTAGGTCCTCAGAAAATGCTGGTCCCTTTGCTCCCCACCCCACTCTGCGCCAGAGAGGCCTCCACATTTAGAGGTAAGCTGGGCCCAAGTTTGGAAGTTGTTAACTTCTTAGTAGTTCTTTCTTTGCCTCGTTATGGGGTAAAACTGCATTTGGTTTTTAAAATTCCCTTTTTATTTAGTCGCTGTGAATGTTAAGAACTGCCAGTACTGGAAGCTGAGATCCCGTCCATATGCCAGGTTTTAAATAGCAGACTAGAAACAAGTTTACACAGGAAGATCAAACTCATCCCAAACACGCAGCTCCTGCACTGTTCAGACAAGAAACCCGTGCCCCCCACTCCGAACCCCCCCGCGCGCCCCTGCTTCCCACTTCAAACCATCTCGGAGAGGAATCTTTTCTTGTTTTAGAAAAACATTTCTGAATTCCGTCTGCTGCTCTCCGTGCACGAAGAAGCGAGTGATGACCCAGTCATCGCAAGGTGTGTGCTTTTTTTTTTTTCCCTCAGCAGCTGGGAGGGTCTCCGATAATCTCTCCGCATTCACCCCCAGCAGTGGTGGCCACCAGCAGTGGTGGCCACCTATCTGGACTTGGAGGGCTCCACCCATGTCCTGAGTAGCAGGCTGATTCACATGCAGGGTTTGACCTTCCCTCTCTGCCAAAGCGGCGCGGTGACCTTGAGCAACGACTTCGGCCCCTCGGAGCCTCAGTTTTCCTCCTCTGCAAAATAGGTGTAGCCCACAGAGCACAATGGTTAAGTGCCTGGACTCTGGTGTCACACACAGATTAGTTCTGCATCTTCCTCTGTGACCTTGAGCAAGTCCTCTCTGACCCTCCCTCCCTGGAAAGTGGGAGTCTTAGTGGTACCTGCCTCCTCTGGTCCTTTTGCTGTGACAGTTAAGAGGGTTAAGATGCTACAGAGCAGTAATGGCAGGGCCTGGCACAAGGTGAATGGCACCAAATGCCAGTTAGGGTCATCAGAGCCCTGGACCACCTGCCTTATGAGGTTCTGATGCGATGGCAGAGATTCTCTGTATGAGGGCCTTGAGCCCACAAATGGTCACTTGCTACGGAAACTCATTGCTTGGTTCTTCCCTGACTTGGACCTCCACGGTGGGGGATCAACAGGACGTGTACCTCTCACCCACCCATTTTTTACCAACCTGGATTCCCTTGGGCTTGTCTGGGCTGCAGGGAGGGGGTGGGGTTGATCTATGGGCTCAGTAACCTGCCTGGGGGAAGGGAGGGGGCCTCTGACCCAGGGGTAAATCATGGACTTCCCAAGGGCCCGTCAGTTCCCCAGGAAAGAAGCCCTGGGCATTTGTTATCTCAATGCTTCCCCTGAGGGGCTGACCACATGATTCATTTCACTCACACTAATTGGATGTAAATTAGATGAGAAATCAGTAATTTGTCCAAAGATTTGTCATTCCGGTGGCTTTCCAGACAGAGTGAAGCGTTGGTCCGGAGGGCCAGAGAAGTCGCCCCCAGCTGTAAGGGAGGCATGCATCTCTGTTTTAGGATGAGAAGCTTTTCCTTGGTGACTTCTGTGTTTGCAGTTTTTTAAAAGGATGGATTTAAGGTGGAGATAGCAGGAGGTGGAGAGAAAGAGAGATGGAGACAGAGAGAGGGAGAAGGAGGGGAGGCAACATAGGGACAAGGTGGGGATGAAGGAGAGACAGAAAGCAAGCCTGGGGGGTCGGGGGAAAGGTGAGCAGGGCGAGAGAATAGGGTAAAAGGGGGAAGAAGGGGAAAGGAGGGGAGGGGAGAGGAGGAGGGGAGGGGGTCGGGAAAGGGGTGACCAGGACGGGGAGTAAAAGGAGAAGAGTGTTTCTTGTTTTTTTGGCTGCCTTTGGCCGACTGGAGCGGTGGGGGAGCCTTTAGGTGAGGCTATTTACTGTCAATAAGAAAAAGGCTGCTCCAAACCTCCTTCCCTACAACAATATGCTAATCAACCCCTTGGGCCAGCTCAGATCTGCAAAGCCAGGCAGCTGCTCCTGTCGCCTCTTGGGCTCCAGGAAACGATAGCCGCTGACTTAATGAGGAAGGGGGGCAGGATGGCTCAGCTCTGGGAGTGGGGGTCAGGCAGCCTGGAGGGGATGGGTGTTACAGGGGAGCCTGCCTGGCAAGGACAGAGGCAACCAGGGCTCCCCAGTAGCCACTCATGTTCTGTTTATTAGAGAGACATCCGAGTCCCCTGAAAGAGGGTGGAGATTTAAAAAAAAATTTTCGAGGGAATCTGAGGCCTGAGTCAGGGTGGAAAGGGGCAGAGGGCAGTGCTGAGGGTGGCAGGTTTAGAGACTGGAAAAGGGGGTCCCTGGCCTGGAGACCCCTTGGGGATAGTCAGATCCTAATTATAATAGACACAAAAATCCCAGCTTGGAGCTGGAAAGGCCACGGTGTGGTCCTTGTCTAGTCTGCCAGGAGAGAGGCCCTTCTCCCACTGCCGTGGGAGAAGGCTGGACTCCAAGGAGGCTACAGAACAGTCAGAGGGTGGAGGCCCTAGACACAGGGGCTGGGGTATCGTACAAGGTAACGGAGAGTGTCTGAGGCGTTGAGACCTTGCACTTGGAAAGACTCATTGCTATGTGCTCACTTATTCCTTTCAACATTTGACACATGTTTCTGAAACTTTTTGTGCATGCCAGGCCCGGTACGAGGTGCAGGAGGAGCCCAGCAGATTCGGTCTCCCAGACTCTGAAGCAGCAGGGCCGAGGAGGGGAGGCAGATAGTAGGCAAATAACCACGAACATTCCACTGTATGATGAGCTATGTCAAGTGCCATGCAAGAGAGGAGCTCGGGCTTTTGACAGCATGTAGCAGAGGGACTGTGGCTAGTGGGGGTGGGGGGAGCTGGAGAAAATAATGCTAAGGTAATCAATTCAAAGTGATAAAAGGGTAACTGCTTTTGATTCTCACAAGGAGAAGCAGTGACCTTGGCCGCTCAGACCTCGTTGGGTATGCATGTGGGTGTGCGGGTGGGTGTGCAAGAGAGCGTTTGAAAATGCCTGGAGAGGTGCGTGCCCTGTGTTTGTGAGCACGGGTCTCAGGTGAGGTGTAGCTGATTATTTGGGGGTGTATTTTAAAGCAGCATAAGCAGCAACAATTGAAATCTGGGGGTAGTTTCGAGAGGATCCCCGTCTCTGTCTTCGCTTCATGTCTCCAAATTTGAGAAAGAAAAAGACAAAACAGCCCCATCTCTCAGTTTCCAGGATCAACTTTTCTGTGATTCTCAGGGCGCTCCATGTGGAAAGGCCTGGTCCATGCTGAGCAGGGGTTCAATCCTGTTTCCCTCCCCATCTTCCCACAACTTTTCACTTCTCTCTCATTCTTTGCTTCATACCTTATTGAGTTATTGATCCCCCTTGTTAATAAAAATTCGCCTGCCAAAGCAGGAGATGCAGGAGACGTACGAGACGCGGGTTCAATCCCTGGATCGGGAAGATCCCATGGAGAAGGAAATGGCAACCCAGTCAAGTGTTCTTGCTTGTTGAATCCCATAGACAGAGGAGCCTAGAGGGCTACAGTCAATAGGGTTGCAAAGAGTTGGACAGACTGAGTGAGTGAACACTCACACGTGGATATTAAGTGAGCCCTTT